GACCCTAAAGAAAAAGAGATTATTATCAAGCAAGGAGCATTACATTTCGGCGGATTTAACACCAATGCAAGGGAATTTATTAAAAAAAACAAGAGATGAACTAAAATCAAGGCAAGCTAATGTTGAAACCAATATTACTATAAAATACGTAAAAGGCGTCCCAAAAATAATAACTGTCTCCACTTTGACAAAAAACTAAGAAATATTTTATGTTATTATCAGAATGCCGGTGGTCTACGATCCAACCTGCCACAGTTTAAAAACTACAGAGTTCGTAAGAAGTCATAATATTATCAGAATCCTGGTTAACAAATGACATAAGTGACGATGAATTATGAATCCAAGGGTACTCTATCTTTCGTTGTGATCGTTCAATTCATTCTAGTGCTAAGAATCCTGGCAATGGCATATTACCAGCTCTTAAGAATAAATATAAGCCAAAATTAATTAATACAAATCCTCAAGTTGAACAATGTCATGCTGAGTTAGTTGCGGGTACTTGTAAGTTTGTTGTTGGTGGTGTTTATCTTCCTCCGAATTCAACAGCAGATAAATATATGATTTATGCAATGGAAGTTGAAAATTTGATGGAACGTTATGCAAATCACTCTTTTATAATTGTCGGAGACTACAGTCTGCCCGAAGCTTCATGGTCAAATGGCAACTTATGAGTGACTGTTCAGTGTCCAATTAACTCACTTGCTTATGATTTATCTGAAACATTTAGTTTCTTAAATTTGTTTTAACTAAATAATATTTTAAATAGCCGAGGCATTCTCCTGGACTTAATTTTTTCCAATTTAAAAGATTAACTAATTTCTTCAGCAGTTGATCTACTGCAACATAATAGTATACACCATACAGCATGTACTTTTAGCATTCCTACTGAACCCCCCACTAAAGCATTGCATGTTGAATATAAAGTTTTTGATTTTGCACAGGGTAACTATGATGCTATTAATTATTATCTATCTACAATGGATTGGGATACTTATTTAACCAATACGGATGTCAATGTTGCAGTACAACAACTGTATGATGTATTGTACTATTCAATGCACTCTTTTATACCCACAAAGATTATACGCAATACAAAATTTCCAACTTGGTATAGCTCAGAACTAAAGAGCTACATATTTGAGAAGATGAAAGCACATACATTATATATGCAAACCAGAAATAATAATGATTATTTATTATTCTCCAACTTAAGAATAACATGCAAAACACTAACTGATGAATGTTACCAACAATATATTGCAAGGGTCGAAAACAATATATCGACAGACCCTAAATCATTTTGGCGCTTTGCTAAAGATAAATCAAGGGGTGAATTTCCGAATGAAATGTATCTAAATAATAAAATTAGTAATAATGGTAGTCCAATTAAATAACGAAAAAAAGCCCCTTCGAGCTTACATTAATTTGTAATTGGATGAAACAAAGTGGAACTTGTGTATCTTGATGTGATCTTTCCGAAAAAAAGAAAAAAAAGATGTAGCTGTTTTTCAATTTTTTTAAATTAGGAAAAACCGGGTTTTCCGAAGGTTTCCATGGTAAAAATGCTAATTATCTGGGCAACTATCATTCTGATAGTAAAAATAAATGCACCAATCGAAAGAGGAGGCAAAAATAGTTCGGAAATTCATTGCACAGGTAGTTTTAATGGCGAATTTCTCGCCGCCAGAAGTGATTTTAACAAAAAGTTTTTTCGTTTCTTTGATCAGAAGCATGAACATGACATTTGCGATGAATTTGTGGCGAAACTATAAATGTTAGACTTATGTGCCCATAAGTGAAGTTACGTATTTTTTTGTTGGTTCTCAAATAAAATAAGTCCCGCGGCGAAATCTGCCATAATTTTTTGGGAATTCGCAGGAAACCGGAAGGCTTAGTTTTTTAAAATTTTTTTCCCATATGTTTTTCTCCGGGTTTTCCGAAAACATCTAACAAAAAACTTATTTGAAAAACCTAACTGCGCCATTGGAAAGAGCACAAAAAAATACACAAAAATGTATGTTAGGAAATTAATCCTAAGCCTGAGTGTAAGTTCCAACTTGATGATAAGCTTGTTTTTTGTTCTCTAACATCTGGTTTTCTTCTCGGTTGATGCTCCATCCTCCTTTTTTTTTGGCATTGTCAATCGCGGCCCTTTTATGCCTATCCCAGGTTTTATAAATAAACTCTTTTCCGTAACGTCGAACTACGTAATGTTTGCGACACCTCTCATGCAATATAAAACCTGGTTCTAAAGAACTAAAAAAATCATCCCCCCTCTCTTTGCTGACCGTCTGCAGACCTTTTAATCCTGTTAGTCTAATTGGGGTTAGTTCACCCTCTGCAAGTGTCTGATGACACAATAAACACAGGCCAGCCAATGCAACCTGGAAACATAAAAAATAAAGCAATGTGATAGAATTTTCTTAATTTAGGAACGTACTTACTCAATAAATTGCTGAAGAAGTCCGAAAAACCACGTGTACACAGAGCTGGCTGAACACGGTTATTAAAAATCTATGCCGATGAACACTATCAAGCGATTCAGTTTGAAGCTTAAACTTGTCGGATAGCGAACGCCGAGACCATGACTATCCTTGATACGACGTGCGGCTAATTTTGCGGTAATTCTATTTTTTGCACAAAACTCAAGAAACGTCTTATAACAAGTCAGTAAAATACAATTTAATAAATTTTAGGACTAGTAAATTTAGGTATGTAAGAAATTTAAAACTGAAAATCACAAAAAAATCAAATTACAGAAATGCAGTGTATACACGAGTTTTGGATCCCGCGGAGCGCTTGTAATGGGACTTTTGTCGGGAGAATTATACAACTTAGAAGAAACATTCACACTTGAAACTTTGTATACACATTCAGAAGACACGAAATTTGGGTTTGCTTAATTTTCAGACCAAAAAACTGAAAATCGTCAATTTTAGGCAACTTTTCTCAAAAACCGTGTTTTTTGGTCGTCACTCAATGAACAGTGGTCAAAAAAATAGATAAAATATTTTTGCAGAAATTTCCGTAATGTAATCGTATTTTAGATACAATGAAGTATTAAAAAAAAAAAAATTTGAGCCATTGGGTATATTTTTGGCATTTTTGTGCCACTTCAAACTTTCGAAAAAAAAATTAGTTTTTTTAGGAAAAAAAATTTGTTTAATTGTTTGATATCTTGGCCAGTTATAATCCGATTTCGGTGAAATTCCCACACGTATAAGAGTTAATATTCAAAAGTAAGCTCTGTAAGTGGCATTAAAAAAATTTAAATAGTTTGGCCGTTATAGACAAACAATGAAATTAGGCCCGCGGTACACTTTGCCCTTCCACCATATGCCCAATTTTGGGATTTCTCTTACACCCTTCTGGGAATCAATAGTCACATCTCTTAGGTTCAAAATGCATTTTTGTTTTTTAAATATCTTCATTTTTACCAAAGTTATGAAGAATTTAGTGTTTGAACATTTAACAAATTCAATTTTTCGACCTTCGCCGCCACAAAATAATAAACAAATTTCAATCGTCCATACCGCGAGAACAGTGCATCGGATCAAAATTTCCCAAGATACATGAAAATTAGCATTTTTCCTAAGCTTTTAAATGTTGTAAACTGCGTTGTGAAAATGTTAATTTATATCCGACATGCGCCTGCGCAAAGGTGAAAAATTGACAAAATCCAAAATTTCGGCACTTTCGAAAAACTGCTACATTTTGTTTTTCCTTTTTTCGAAAAGATCACCCCAAAAAACATACAATCCATTTTGTTTCATCTAATTATAATTTAATGTAAGCTCAAAACTCGTAATTTAATTCGATTATGGCTGTGATACTGTAAATTTATTTGCTGATAATTTATGTCAAGACTGATTGTAATGTACCTGTATTAAACTATGAGAAAACCATTAATGTAAATAATGTAAAAGTGACCTTAAGTGAAGGTTTTTATAAAATTTCTCAATTAAAAGACAATTTCTCTTGTGGTCCAGATGGAGTTCCATCTTACTTTTTAATGAGGTGTGTCTGTACTGTTAGTACTCTTATTTCTATTATTTACAATATTTCACTTGATTCAGGAGTATTTCCGGATTTTTGGAAATACAGTTTTATAAGACCAATTTATAAATCGGGATGTAATCGTGACATTAAAAATTACAGAGGAATATGTTTGCAATCTAACATTCCAAAAAGTTTCGACTCACTCATTACAGAATATTTGTCATGGGAATGTAAAGGACTAATAATTGATCAACAACATGATTTTTCACAAGGAAAATCTACAGTAACTGCCTTGTTAAGTTATCAAAATAAAATATTAAGTGCTTTTGAAGGAGGGTATCAAGTACATTCTGTCTATACTGACTTCTCAAAAGCATTCGATAGAGTTAATCATGAATTGTTGATCGCCAAGTTGAGCTCATATGGTATCAATGGTAAACTTTTAAATTGGCTATCTAATTTTTTAATTGGTAGGTATCAGTGGGTCAAAATTGGGAATCACATTTCTTATTTGATTGAAGTATTGTCTGGTGTTCCTCAAGGATCCCATTGTGGTCCGCTTCTTTTTAATCTATTTGTAAATGACATTGCATGTTGTATAAAAAAGTCTCAGTTCCTACTATTTGCAGATGATTTAAAAATTTTTAAAATTGTTGAAAGTATATCTGATTGTTTTGATTTACAGACTGATATTAACAAGCTAGCATTGTGGTGTAATGTAAATTGTATGAATTTGAATTTAAGTAAATGTTTTTATATTAAGTTTAATAGGTGCAATTAGGTACTATTAGAGACTATACTTATTGTATCAATTCATTAGATCTTGAATTGATGACCCAAATAAAGGACCATGGCGTAATCTTTGATTAAAAACTTACTTTTTCAGAACACATTACAATGATATCATTAAAAGCCAGAAAGTCGTTGGGTTATATACAAAGAATCTCTAATGGTTTCTCAATAAATTCTTTTAAAATTCTTTACTGCACTCTTGTTCATTC